AGGTCACCGTTACAAGTGTCTCAGACAAGGTCACCGTTACAAGTGTCTCAGACAAGGTCACCGTTACAAGTGTCTCAGACAAGGTCACCGTTACAAGTGTCTCAGACAAGGTCACCGTTACAAGTGTCTCAGACAAGGTCACCGTTACAAGTGTCTCAGACAAGGTCACCGTTACAAGTGTCTCAGACAAGGTCACCGTTACAAGTGTCTCAGACAAAGTCACCGTTACAAGTGTCTCAGACAAAGTCACCGTTATAAGTGTCTCAAACCAAGTCACCGTTACAAGTGTCTCAGACCAAGTCACCGTTATAAGTGTCTCAAACCAAGTCACCGTTACAAGTGTCTCAGACCAAGTCACGGTAACAAGTGTTCATTAAAAACTGATTCGATATATCTAAAACGCCAATTGTCTTTCTCTCGTACAATATCTACCATTGCAACCTGCTGTCCTTAACAATTGCAACCTGATCTCAAAGCTAGTTATAGCAGCCTGATGTGATAACCAGTTATAGCAACCTGCCGCTGTTATAAGCAGTTATGGCAACCCGATGTTATAACCAGCTTGAACAACCCGATGTTATAGCCAGCCATCACAGACTGCCGCTTCATCTTGACGTGTCACGTGACGACGTTTGTTTTTCGGGGCTGGTGCGTCGGCGTTCACTTCATCAACGGAAACGTTTGACGGTATAATTCACGACAAACCTTCACCTTCGCTTTCACTGTCCCATTCGCCTTTCCTTCGTACGCAGTACATCAGCGTAATGACCGGAATCACCGCACCCCACAGCAGCCACAGCAGTTGTAAACTGAGCACGTTCGGACATTCTCCGGTCACCCTGTCGAAGCAGTCGGCGCCGCACGTCTCCAGGCAACTTCCCAGACAGTTCGGTCCGAACTCGTTATAGCCGCACGGCTTGTGGCACCCTTTGTGGGGATGCTTGTACCCGCTTTTACAAGAGGAGCATGCGCCTGTCAAGCGGTTGCACGCGTCCCCGCAGTGTGAGCAGCTGTTCTCGCAGTTGTCACCCCACGTGAAATTACGGCATTCCGGCGGCGCGCAGTCCATGTGAGCGACGCACGAGCTGTTCCCCGCTTCCTCTCTCGGCCCCAGGCAGTCGCGGCCGCCACCGCTAGGTTTCGGCTCGTTGCACTGCCGTGTCCTCATTAAAACCATATTGCTGCAGTCAGGATTGCACGACCAGGGTGTCCATAAGCCCCAGTTGCCGTGGGTCCCCCACACCCCGTGCGTGTCTTCGTCTACCCTATCGTCCTGGTCGTTATCTTTCTTGTCCGGGGTCTCTTCGTCGACATAACCATCGCAGTCGTTATCTATACCATCCCCGGCGTACATCAGGTCCAGGGATGGCATGCAGCCGTGGAACCCCGCCGGGTGGATGTACTGCACGGCAATGCCGACGCCGTAGAGGTAGCACCCGAATTTGAGGTAGTTCGTGGACGCGATCGAGTGATTCTTCCTGGACACGGTGACGGTGCCGACCTTGAACTTTGGATCTCCCGTGACCTCCTCCCAGTAAACGTTTCCAGACAGCGGCGAGTGGTCCAGGTAGATAAATTCAGCGTGGTCTGTCTCGACCACGACGGCGGCATAGTTGTGAGGGATCGTCGGCGGGGTGCTCCAAATGTACTCCACGTCGAAGAATTGGTTGGGCAGGATCACCCCAAAGGCGGTGTCGCCGTTTTCCATATATAAACTCGTAAATGTGAAGCATGAAGACCTCAGCACCACGACAACGTGAATTCTTTTATTGCTCACCAACTTACGATTTCTACTCGCCTGCAGGTCCAGGTTGTAGTCGCCCGGAGCCACAAGTTTGATTATAATGACGGTGCCCTCGACGTCCCCACTCGCGGTGACCACGGTGTCTTTCTCCCCGGCAACGATCGCGAAGAAGCCGACGGTTTGCCTATTCCTCGGCGCGAACGCGACGAACTCGGTGCCCATCGCTTCGTAGGGCAGCATCATCTCCGCGTCTAGGTCGTAGGTAACACCCTGGTGGCTGTAATTGTTAGATTTGCAGTCCGAGATGCTCGTCTTCGACTCGCAGTCGCCGCTGATCACCCCAATCGGGTCCTGGCCTTCGATAACGCTCCCCAGCATCGTGGTCATGTAACGAAATCGCACATCGCAAAATGAAATGGCAAACGCTTCCCAGCGCCTCAGCACAAAGTCCAACGGCCCGCCACTGAAATTCTTTCCGTCGTAGGACACTGTCGGTGTATTATCCTCTTTTCTCCAATATGCTTTGACGACGGCGTGGATGCTGTTGTTGTCGGCGCTACTTATCACCTGCAGTGACGGGTAAAAAAACAGCGTGACGGCGACATACTTTTTACCCCAGCACGCGACCGGGACAGCCTGGAAGGTGGCCATGGAATCCAGGTCTTTGGCTAAGATGACGAATAGAGAAAACGTCCCCGTCCCGTTTAGCCGGTAGCTCCACTTCTTGCCGAACGGCTCCTGTGACAACAAATAGGGGGGCAGGTCGTAGACGACAACCAGCCTCGCTGGCAACACGATCTCACTGTTCGGGGCGTCGCTCTTGTGCGGCACCGTGATGGAGACGCGTATGTCGCTGGCCTGTCTGCTGCTCATCGAGAATTGTATGATATGGCGACCGTGCGTCGATTCGAAATGCGGCATTATCTTTGGTGCGGCTACCAAAAAATGTGAGCCAGAAGACGAGAACGTGCTAACGAGGAGTGGAAATAATTCCATCAAGGAAACAGTTGGTAAGAGCATTTTTTGAATTTTTAAAAAAAAATGCCTCACGTCATAATTTTGATCTCTTTAGTTCGATAGGAAGGAGCCTTTTTGTGTTATTTACTTTTAAACCGGAAGTTTAGAAACAGCGTTTAAAAAGTAATTGAAGGCAACGAGACAAATAATAAAGCAATATTATATATTACAATTTAAAACCATGTCACATGATGCCGCGTTTTAATAGAAGTTTTAATCTGACGTAGGCCAAACAGGATTGTGAATTTCACTTTTTTTTAATGGATTAAAATGTTATCTAATCTAATCATATACTGGTGTAGCCCAGGGATCGAAAACCATTTGATACTATAGTGCCAGACTAAGACTTCTAATCATTCAGAGAGAAAACAACCTCTTCTTCTAAATTTTGAGGACCCACGATCAATGTATTGATAAGGCTGCTACTTATGGGGCCGTCCATAAAGTACGCCACGCTCCAGAGGGGGGGGGGGATGTAAGAAAGTGTGACAGTTTGTGACAGGGGGGAGGGGGTCAGGCCATGTGTGACGTCACAAATTTATGTTTTTTAAATTTTATTTCTAATTTATTTTTTTATTTTTTTTAGTAGCATTTAATAGCTTTAAAAATAATGTTCAAAAATTTTGTGAAACCTTTGAATTAGTTTTATGTCAAAATATCATGAAATGCGTATCTCCTGAATGTTTCCTCTCGCTAGGAGCGCTAGGATGCTGTTGCGAAGCCTTGTTTTATGTATACCCTTGCCGAGATCAACAGGAGTTTTCAAAGAACAACTATATGATCTTTATTGTCCATGTTTGCAGACCAGCTTACTTGATCGAATTAGCAAAGTATTCCACTTAAAATTTGCCTCACAAACAATGTCGAAGAAACATGCAGGACAACACAGAGCTCGGGCTCGGGAGAATGTATCAACCCAAACTGTTCCAGAATCAACTCAGATAAAACGCATCAGTCCTTTGAGAATCGCTGCTAGAAGGCAAAGAGAACTCATGGCAGTTATTGTCAGAAGAGAAAATGCACATTCAGAGGATGTTGAGTGGCTACATGAGGATGAAGTTGATCTGTCTGCAATTATCCTTCCAGGAAACGATGATGGTGAAAGATTGATGTCAGTCGTAACTATGGATGGACACTTCACTCCACCATGGATGGATGATGTCCAGTGAATATTTTTTAATTGAACATAATTCACAGGCCCAAGATAAACAGATTCAATATAGCACAAGAGTGTGTCAAATAATTTGTCAATCTAGTCTTTTTTAAGTCAAATTGTTTTGTTTCCTTTTTTATTATTTACTCACTAGGTGAGGTCAAGTTACGCTAATCTACTTCTTATCCTTTGTAAAAAGATTGCATAATCGGAAATTATCTAAAACTTGACCTCACCTTTTGTAAATGAAAAAGCAAAAGATAAATGATGTGTATTATCTAATTGTCTAGTCTAATTTTTGCAATTTTTGTTTTCAAATTCAATCTAGATTGAGTTACTGCTTCAATGAATAACTGTTACAACTGTTTACAATTAACTATTCTCCTATTAAAGTAATTTTAATAATGTGACAGTAATTTTAAGTGGAAATTTTATATTTTAATACAGTTTAATTTTAATAGTGAAGTGTGTTTTAGATTAAATTTTAATTAGGTGTTTATTTTTTTTTAAAAATTGTTCGAAAGTGTGACATACTTTAGGGGGGGGGGTGTCCGAGATATGTGACAGTTTGTGACAGGGGGAGGGGGTTAAAAATGGGCAAAAATAGCGTGACGTACTTTATGGATGGCCCCTAAGATACATTTCTCGCCATTAATAATTTATTAATTTTTTTGTTGTTGATTTTTTTGGTTTGCCTTCCGCGGGCCAATGCAAATCGCTAAGTGTGCCAGGTCTGGCAAGCGTGCCGTGGGTTGCCGGCCTACCCCTGGTGTAGCCTATATGTAAGCGACTATTGTTTTCTGATTAACCAGACTTGGCAATGCGACTCACTTTTCTAGGTACCCATAATGTGTTTTATAAATTACATTGTCTTTAACTGGCTGAACATAACAAAACTAGCATTTCAATTTATATTTTCTGGTTAAACATAATTGGCTTATTCCACTACATTATCTGTGTTAACAAACGTTGCAAATAGATTTGACTTTGATACCAGCAATTCTTGAGTTTGCTTTTTCGATTTCCGACTTGATTTCCGTGTGGCTGGAGGCCCCCGTCGTCGCGCAATCAGAAGCCTGAACGTGTCTCTGTACTTGGTGCTCATGCGATAGTAAACCACAATGGTGATGCTGGAGTTCACCGTCTCCATCTGCAGGGCGTACGTGGCCACGATCCAGTTGATGTTGGAGAAAGCCCCGTTGATGCTCAGCTCCGACACGACCGCGCGGGCCGACAGCAGGGCGGACGACGGGGTGAAGCAGACGATGAATATCACCGAGACCGTCACGATCATGACGACCAGCCGCTTCTCTCGGACGGTGGCCGCCGTCGCAGGGTTGGCGATGGCGGCCCCGGAAGCGGTCTGCCTCCACTGGGCTTTGCTCCTCAGCTTGACCCCGATGACGACGTTGCAGACGATGATGACGAGGAAGGCCGTCAGCGGCACCGCGGAGTTCGTGAGAAAGAGGGACGGGCCCAGGACCTCGTTGATGTTCTTGGCGTAGAAGATCCCGAGGACCGTGCGGTTGAGCCGCGCGTCAAGCTTCCAGTCGTAGTACGCCGTGTAGTACACGGGGAACATCGTCAGGGCGATGGCGAAAAACACGCTGGTGTTGAAGGCGACGGACACCCTCTTGGTGATGATCCGCCTGACCTTGAGCGGGGAGTACACGCAGAGGCAGCGCTCGAACGCCACGAAGGCGGTGATGAACCCGGTGCATTTGATGAAATAGTTGTGCGGGTAGCCGGCGGTGAGACTCTGGATCTCCAAGGGCAGGAAAGGTAGGTCGAGCCGCAGGAACCAGGGGTTGACTATGATGTTGAACCACTGGAGCGTGACCAGGGCCCCGATGTCACCGACGGCGAGGGCGGTCAAGCTGATGTTGACGGTGTCGTCGAAGCCGTTCTTGGCGAACACGACGATGTTGATGACGTTGGCGATGATGCCCAGAAAGCCGACGATCTCTCCGAAGAAAATATTCACCGTCACGATGACCTCTCTGACCTCGTAACTGACCAGTCCGTTAGGGGTTACCTGGCTCGCGCTCCCTGTTGTCAGATTGAAGCCTGTGAGCGAGCTACTCATTTTCCTGGTGTTCGTGGACGTTGTGCTGCAATGACACAGCTTATACAATTTTAATGCGTTAGGTCATTTACAAATTTGACTCAATATGTGGGCGCATTTTCGTATTTCGGCGCATTAAAACGCATTGGTTCTTGGAGATTATTCGAAAGTGCAGCGATACGGATAAACAGATGATTAGTGTTGGCCCATTGTGACTTCTAAACACGCGGAGGAATATCGTAGCCCTGCACATTTTGTCTTAGCGCAAGCAAGGACTAACTGGAACCATCTCTTGGTACATCACATGAAGCTGTTTACACCACAAGTCAGTTCAGAGGTGGTACATCACATGAAGCTGTGTACATCACAATTCAGTTCAGATGTGGTACATCACATGAAGCTGCATGTGTACACCATAAGTCAGTTCAGATGTGGTACATCACATGAAGCTGCATAAATCACAACTCAATTCAGATGTTAAAAAAAAGTCACTTGTCAGACTTAAGTCAAGAAATTCCAATCAAATTCACTTGGCATGAGTCTAATTTTTCTTAAAAGTTAAAAATATAGAGATTCTATCAATGGTTTTCCATATTTACTTCCCAATAAAGTGACCTCTCGCCTAACTCTTTCCAATTCTCTGAAGAAAATAAACTTTTTCACCAGCCATTGTAATGTGATCAAGGCCATATTATTTCTCCCGTGACCTTTGTGTTATGACCTATTCTCCCTATCCCACTAGGTACCATAGGAACAAAGTACCGCCTACTACAACACCAACTTTTGTTCATCATGCATAACTTGTGGGCAGGTAACTCGAAGCTTTTCTTCCGGAAAGCCCTAACTGAATTTTATTGTCATTTTATCTTCTTTTATTCCCCCACACCCTGCTATTACTTTCTCGACAGTAGGCATATCCACTATCCAGTTAAATGAGAATGTAACAATTGTGTTGCAGTGGAATCCGGAACCATATCAGCATAGCCATTTTTTTTTATACGTCAGTCGTAACTGTACCTAAAACGAGGGGAGACTACTCAATCCAATCAGTTACAGTTCTTTTTTTTTTTTGGAATACAACATATTTCAATTTGTTTTGGGTTTTCAAATTTTATAAACATTACATACAATATTTTTAAAAACAAAATCTCTTGTGCTAATTGTAATGAATTAAAAATTTGGAAAAATAAACACACACACACACACACACAAAATCAAAAAAAAAAAAAAATCAATGAAACGAAACACAGTGTTTAACGAGGGGAGACTACTCAATCCAATCAGATACAGTTCTTTTTTTTTTTTGGAATACAACATATTTCAATTTGTTTTGGGTTTTCAAATTTTATAAACATTTCATACAATTTTTTTAAAAACAAAATCTCTTATGCTAATTGTAATTAATAAAAAATTTGGAAAAATAAACACACACCACCACAAAAACAAAAACAAAAAAAAAAAAAAAATAAATAAAACAAACACCGTGTTTAAACTAAATGTTTGTCTCTTCCCCCCCCCCCCCCCACTCAAGGGCAGAATCGTAGCTTGAGAGTTTGAGTTTCAATTAAAAAAATCATCGACCGTTTCCCCATGGTAAAATAAGTGCATACCACACTCCTTAAGTAATACAGGCGAAGTGCAATTATATATAAGTGTATTGTATATCTTGCCACCGTGTCGTTACAATTAATTATCACTGGCTAATTATTTATTTTAATGTCGGTAGTTACCGTAATTTTTTCGTTTCCATTGACCAACTCATGTTGAAGTCGTATATCGAGGAAGACACAGGACAGTGGTTCTCAACCTTCCTATTTGCCTCGACCATTTAATACAGTGCCTCACGTTGTTGTGATCCCCAACCATTAAAAAAATATTTTCGTTGGTACTTCATACATATGTGTTTTATACGCTGGTCTTAGGCGACCCCTGTGAAAGGGTCGTGCGACCCCCCCTCTCCACAAAAGAGGTCGCGACCCACAGGCGGAGAACCACAGACACAGCAAGACTATTATTGTATATAAATAAATGAACGTTCAAGTGCCGTGCACCATTTTATTGATTCGCATTTTAATTGTTGGTCGCGTCAAATAATGACACGGGCTGCGCGGTGGTAGCACGAGTTTCACATCAACAGCAAAGAAAGGGGGAGTAATTATTTCAAGGTGGATTGACTACATGTTTACCGGCCAGTCCTCACAAGTTAAGGCTATCCACCTCACCCCCACCCCCCTTTCCTTAACAACCCCATATGGCAATGTGTGGTAATTTAATTATTTTTTTTTGGTATAAATATAGTTTTGTTACAAATGTACATCGTTATTAAACTCCTTTGTGACCCAATCAGTAACAAAATAAAACATTAAGGGTCCTCGCGAACTAGGCTTCACTTTCTCTCTCCTACTTTCTCCTAGTTGACAGAGACCTGGCAGCGCTTCTTCATGTTAAGCTGAGCAACATTTGACTTGAGTGAGGAAGCAACTGAAACCCTCAGTATAGCTTGAAGATGCTCATCAGTAAGTTTGGCCCTGCACTTTGACTTGTTAAATCTCATAGTGGGAAAATAGCTTTTCACACAGATATGTACTCGCAAAAAAGCACATGATCCGTTTGAGCCACCTGGAAATCTCAGCGAAGGTGGAGGCCAATGCTCTCATTAATTGCCCATGCTCGTCTGTTTCTCCATTCACTCCCTGAACTCAGAATTGCACTGAAGTTCCATCAGCTCCATTTGAAGTGCAAGTGGGGAGTTGGGGGGGGGGATTAAAGGAGAAAGGATTAGCAAAAAGTTGAAAAGTGGCTCTGTGTGTTTTGAAGTTTAAAAACATGTCATCAAATTCTTCCTGTAGCTCTGCAATGGAATCAGTATACTCACTACTGAATGGTGTTCCTGAATCCATGAGTACTTTTCATTTTTGGAAAAAGAAGAGGTTTCTCCAAGAACCATAACACACGTTCTTGTGCAGATTGCCGCAACATTGTCATAGGCAACACTGACAAGCTACACCTGGTCTTGTAACTTCTTGTTGAGTATATACAGCTCCTGTGTAATATCAACAAGAAAAGCCAAGCCCATGAGCCATTTGGTATCACGTAATACTAGAAAAACCACCCCATCCTTCTCCATGAAGGCTTTGAAGGCTAATAAGTATTCCAATAATAGGCAGTAGCATGCAATATTGATGAATTATTGATGCGAAGGAAGATGCTATTGTAAGGAGAATTAATTTTTGAATTTTTTTATCCCAGAAAAGGGCTTTTTGACTAATCCCTATTTTAAAATGGAACCAGGAGTTTGAGACCCCCTGATCTAGGGGTTTCTTTTGAGCTAATTTAAATTTATTGGGAAATTCTCCCAGCCAAAAATATAAACTTTCAGAATATTATTTCTTTTATTGTTTAAAGATATACTTTGGCACGACGCAGACTGGATAATTTGGCATGACGTAGACTGGATACTTTGGCACGACACAGACTGGATACTTTGGCACGACACAGACTGGATACTTTGGCACGACGCAGACTGGATAATTTGGCATGACGTAGACTGGATACTTTGGCACGATACAGACTGGATACTTTGGCACGACACAGAATGGATACTTCGGCACGACACAGACTGGATACTTTGGCACGACGCAGACTGTATACTATTACAAGACATAGA